GGTACCGATGCCGTGGGGCGACTTGAGCACGACAGCGTGGCGGCGCGCGAGCTCGTGGCGGGTGAAGTCCAGAGCCTCCTTGGCCGTGCGGAAGATGCCCCCCGGAAGCTGCGGGATTCCGTTGGACGCGCAGAACTACCCCCCACCCACCCCCACCCCCACAACGCGCCCGCAGCACCACAGCAGCAACAGCGCAGATGGTGAGTCCAGACAATCGTGTGTTGTTGTTTGTTGTTTGTTGGTTGGTTGTTGAATGGCCATACGGTGCGCCAGGTGGTCTTGGTGCCCAGGCCGAGCTGGTCGTAGTTGCACTCGGAGATCACCTTGCCCACGCCCTACATGCGCCCCGCGTTAAGACACGCCACACGACACACGTGGCCACACCAACACGCGGGTGAGTGGGACAGAGGAAGAGGAGGAAGCGGCGGCGGCGGCGGCGGCGGCGGGTGTACCGCGTTCTGTAGGCGGGTGAGGAGCTCCTTGTCCTTCTCCTCGGCCTCGAAGACGGAGAGGACGAGGGTGTCCTTGAGCACGCCCTTGGCCTTCTTCTCCTTCACAAAGTCCACAAAGTCGTCCAAGCTCTCCAGCAGGGACTACCACGCCCCGCCCCCCACGCCCCCACGTCGGCGGTTCGTCGATGAGTGAGAGAGACAACAAGAAGGAGCGGAGGTGGCAGGTACGTCGAGGAGGGTGCCCTTGAAGCGGGCGGGGGGCAAGTTGTAGATGAGCGGCCGCGACAGTTTGAGCACATCCGTCCAATAGCCTAATACCACAGCAGCAGGCACACGTGCACCACCGCTCGTTTGGTGGGTACAGTGTTTGGTTGGGTTTTGGTGGGGGGGGGTGCTGCGTACTGAGGTAGGAGGATTCTACGGGGAGGGACGTTATCAGGATGTCCCGTTGCCCGCCCAGCAGGATGGCGTTGGCGTCATGCGCCTGGTCTGTGAAAAAAAATAAAAATAAAAATAAAAAAATAAACACTGAGCGTTGGCACGATTGGGTGCACGCGGGCGTAGAGACGAGCGAGGGCGAGGAGTCAATGTACCGGCGGGGATGGCGTTGTGCTGGGGATCGAGGAGGCCGCCCGTGTGGGAGTGGCTGTGCACGAATATGGTGGAGTAGGGCTTCTTGCTGGTCTTGAACACGGGTCGTCCTGTCTTCACCTGCATTACCAAGCTTCGCAGTGTTTGTTGTGCAGTTCTCTGTGTGGTGTGTAGGGTAGCGTGCGTGTGGGTGCTCGCTCGAAGGTGCTGCAGATGTGATAATAAAGAGAATAACAATAATACCAATAAGAGTGCGCTCAGCTGCTCTATTCGCTTTCCACAGGGAACGACCTGGTTACAGGGGAAGCGGACGGTATTCCCAGACTTTTTCATTCGGCTTGGGGCTCGGAGTTCGGGTGCGACACTACAGCCATGGTTCTTCGTTCTTCTGGACACCTCAAGGATTGACGCGCATCACGTCAGCGTTCACGAGCTGCGGCGGACGCTCGCCCCGCCAGAAGGCCTGCTGGTTCTTGCCCACGATTTCTGCAGCCATCCTCCGGGCAACCACGTGCGCGTTAGTGCTGGCTGGCGTTTGCATCTCTGCCCAAAGGGGGAGGGGGAGGAGGGCGCGTACGGGCCATGAGGAAGCGGGTGCGGAAGGAGGCCGATCCCACGTGCGGGGCCACCACCACGTTGGTCAGCGAAAGCAGCTCGTCCGACGGGTCGATGGGCTAACGATCACAAGACACACACGACACACACGACGATCAAGGTGCTGCTGTCAGCGGTGCTCGTGATGACCAAGATACTAGAGACATGCACAGATCTGTGGCTGGATGTTGGTGGTACCTCCTGCTCGAACACGTCGAGGGCAGCTCCGCCGATCTTCTTCTCCTTGAGGGCCTGAGTGAGGTCCTTCTGGTTGATGACGGGACCCCTGGCCGTGTTGATGATGATGGCCGTCGGCTTCATGAGGGCCAGAGAACGGGCATTGATCATGTGGCGCGTCGAGTCCCTACATGTATGCGCAGCACACGAATGGAGAGACCGGTCAACAGGCTGCTACTGCTGCCGCGCTGCGAAGAGCCTCGCCGCTGCGGAAGGTGCGCGCACGTGAGGTTGACGTGGAGGGAGATGAAGTCGGCCTCCTTGTACAGGTCATCGAGAGGCAGCCACCTAAATAACCGCGACAGGCTCAGTCAGTTGCTGGCGCACTCCCTGAGCGTGGAGGAAGGCAGCGGTGTACCTGACGTTGTGCTCCTTTTCGAAATCCAGGGAGCGGTACTCGTCTGCTCACACGACTCCGGCCGGACGGAGGAAAGGAGTGAGCACGCACGTACGCCGCGTGCTGGGTGGTTCGGATGAAAATGGGCGAAGCCGCGGCGGTGGCGGTGGTGGTGGGGGGCTACCAAAGTAGATGACCTCGGCGCCAAAGGCCTGGGCGATGAGAGCCACCCTCTTGCCAATGCGACCCAGCCCCACGATCGCCAGCTTAGCGCCGAACAAATCCCTGCGCACAGGCGCACCCAACAGGCATCAGAGGCATTGCACACCCGGCGACCGAGAGGGCGAGCGTGTGCGTACGAGCCCAGCATCATGAGCGGATGCCACGAAATCTTCCACTGGCCATCCCTCACGTACCTGGCCACCACCACCATCACCCACCACCCACCACCACGACCACCACGACCACCACGACCACCACCACCACCACCACGGCAACACCCGCGTGTTGGTTAACCACCAACCACACACCTTACACGGCAATCACTGAGATAACACACGAAAGAAGAAGGGGCAGAAGGAGAAGAAGAAGGAAAGGAGAAGGATGGGGGAGAGTACTTGTCGGCCTCCACGATACGGCGGGCCATGGCGAAGAGCAGAGCAAAGGTCGTCTCCACGACGGTCTCCTAATGTAAACAATTAAGAATAAAAAAAGAAATGTAAAAGAAATACAAAAGGGAGGAGTGTACGTTGAGGACGTCGGGGGTGTTGGTGACGTAGATGCCGCGAGCGGTGGCAGCCGCAATGTCGATGTTGTTGAAGCCGACGGCCAGCTGGGTGATGACCTTGAGGCGCGGGCAGCGGTCCATGAGGTCGGCATCGATGCGGTCGGTGAGGAGTGAGATGAATCCGTCGCAGTCCCGCAGACGCTCCAGGAGCACGTCGTGAGGGGGCGCGTCCTCGCCGTCCCACAGGTCGACGTCGGCCACCTCGCGGGTGAGCTCGAGCGCCACGTCGGGCATGTTGCGCGAGCAGAACACCTTCCACCGCCGACCCTCCCCGCCGGAGGCGCGACGCCGCTCCGCGCTTACACTCTCACTCGCACCGCTGTCCATTACGGGGCTTTGGGCTTTTGGCTCTACAAGGGGGCTGGGGCTGGGATGGTGGGGAGGCCAACGGACGACGGGGCGAACGCTGCTCGAGAGAGAGCTGCTGCGCACTCCCACTTACGCACCACAAGCGAAACTCCGCAGGGAAGCGCCGAAGGGACGTGCGGGAAGAAATGTGCGAGAACGCGCGCAACACCACACGACCACCACACGACCACCACCACACGACCAAGGCTCAGGCTCGAGGGTCCGCTGCTGACCTGGGCCGATGGTCAGGGATCGCTGGTGCGGCGGCCGACGGCCAGGCACACACAAGAGGCCTCCCCCATCCACCCGGCGCACAGGTCGTAGCCCACGAGTCGGCGCCCAGGGTTGTCCATTATCCACTGCCGCACCTGCGCATGTGTGTGTTGTTTGTCGTGTCGTGTCGTGTCGTGTCGTGTCGTGTCGTGTCGTGTCGTGTCGTGTCGTGTCGTGTCGTGTCGTGTCGTGTCGTGTGTGTGGTGAGCACGAGTCACCGTTTGCCCGAGGGCAGTTATGAGGTGGTACGGGTTGCGTGGCCTGCTGGGCGTGGTCGATGAAAGCACGCACGATGGCCTCGGCCGACAGTCCGCCCTGCGCGTCGGCGGCCGCGCGGGCGAGGCAGCGGGCGAGGAGCGGCAGGGTGACGGCGGTGTCCCACGGGTGGAGCAGGCGGTCGCCCTGCACCTCGGCCCACGTGCGGTGATGCGGGCAATGGGCGAGGAAAGGGTAGTCGGCCTCCCGGTCCGCCGCGGTGATGTCGTGGCGCAGGTAGAACGGCTGCAGGTTGCGCCACGCCCCGTTGGACAGCAGGAACACAAAGTCCCCCTCCTCGCACGGCACCACGCAGTAGTTCTGCGCACGATGCACCCACCCCACCCCACCCCACCCGCCCTTGTGTGTGAGTGTCTGCCCCACCGCGCCACACCGGCGGTCGTCGCCAAGTGGTCCGCCTTGGGGGGAGGAGGGAGGGAAGGGGACACCTTGTTCCGGAGGTCGGGCTTGCCCTGGTCGCTGTAGGGCCCCAGGTACCCGCCTGCCACCACCATTCGGTCGTTCGTTCGTTCGTTTGCCGCCCTCGGTGCAGGGCCGTGAGGGCGAGAGGGGTGGGTGGGTTGGTGGGTAGGTACCGGCGTCGCGCGGATCGGTGATGTCGCGGCTGGCGCCCTCAGTTATTTCGAGCACCTGGTTCTTCCTCCCTGCACGCCAGGCACGACCCCGCCGCCATCGTTTCGATGGATTGGTCAAATGTGTGGCAGATGTCCATCACGTGGAGGAGGGGCAGGATTTCGGGAGGATTACGGGAGTAGTGGTAGGCCCGCACATCCCCGATGACTCCGCACACGAACAGGTACTGGTGGTCGGCCATCCGCACGGACGACGCCACCGCGTGCCAGCGCCTACATACCACCACCACCACACGCGACACACGCGACACACGCGAGGACGAGGAAGGAGGTGATGAGCAGAGCCTAACAACGATCGATCTTGGGCGGCGGCGGCGGCGGCGTGGGGAGGCAAGCACCGGCAGGTCTGCTTGGCGGCGGCGAGGGCCGGTAGGTCCGTGGCGAGGGAACGGAAGATGAGGAAGAGCACGTCGTCGGGGAGCATCCTCACGCTTTCTTCTCGGCCGTGTCCACCAATCGTCGCCTCGCGCTCCTCTCCGCTGTCCTCCTCCTCCTCCTCTGGGGCTTCTGGCCGTGGACGTCGTCCAGCCGGTGACATGGGGTGGAGGACCGCCTTTCGCTTTCGCTTTCGCTGGTCGGGTTCCAGCTGGAGGGCGTCGGAGTCGGGGTAGTGCTGCAGGCGGCGGTACTGGCGTTGGTGGGCGTGCTCCTCCATGGCCAGCAGCTTGCGGCGCAGGCCCTCGTCGAGCCCGGCCACCGGCAGCAGAACGCCCGCCCCGACCGTGCACGTGCCCGCTTCCCACACCTCTGGGTAGCCCTGCAATGTGCAAGTGCCCACCACCGCGACGCACGCACATGATGGTGAACGGGTGTGAAGAGCTCGTCAGGGCGGTGTTGGTTAGGGTTGGTTGGAAGGCGTGAAACCTTGATGATGCTCTCGTGCGCCTCTCCGAATGCCGTCTCGAGCGCTCGCCCGGCATCCCTGGATCGAGCAAGTGTTACTCGAGTGCCAGCGTATATGAATATATTGTGCAGGCGCGAGGCAACGGCAAAATGTCGACACATGGGTTACATGCAGGTGGTACCTGACGGTGGCGATGCGGCCCAGCTGCTGGCGGAGCGACTTGGTCACGGTCCTCGCCGTTCTACCGGCCGCCACGTAGGGCGCCATCCCAAAGCCCCGCCCGTGCGTGAGGACCACGCTCTAGACCCACAGAACGAAGCCGCGCGCGTCAGCCGGCCGGCACTCGAGACACGCTGTGCTCGCGAGGAGGAGGAGAAGGCCACGTGGTACGTACAGCGCAGTCCTCGGCATAGAGCACGGCCTCGAAGCAGTCGCCCATGCGCTCCGCGTGCGTCTGCGCACCGCCACCCAAAAGGTCGAGTTAGTTACCGCCACCGCCACCGTCATCATCACGGGTGCATTCCACATGTGCGCCGTGCCCTGATTGGACCAACCAAAGAAGGAGGAGAGCGCACGGGAGGCGGGAACGTGCACACGGACTGGGCGGCGGCGGTCCACCCGCGGGCGGGTCGCGGGCGGTGCACCTGCCGCAGCAGCTGCCGCTCCAGGGCCGGGTCGTCCGCCGGTTGGGCGAATTGGGCCCAGCACACGCTCCACTCGTCTCCTCCTCCTCCTCGTGCTGCGCCACCACTGTCGCTGGCGGCCGCGTGCTGGGCTTCATCGCCACCACCTTGATGCTGCTGATGCTGCTGATGCTGCTGCCGCTGACGGTGGTGGTGGTGGTGGTGGTGGTGGTGCACAGGCGTGGCCACGGGCAGAGGGGGCAGCTCCTCCCAGCGGGCGTAGGGACCCAGCTCGGGCACCTCCTCGCCTGACCACAAACCCACCAAGCCAAGAGGCAAACCCCAAACAAACCCCCAATGAGCTCCGAATGCAAAGAGAGTCGGGCAGGATCCCTGCTATGCACCTTGCGGGCGGCTGCGTGCTCCCCCCATCGGCTTTGTGTGTTGTTGCCACCAACACGAACAAAAGATAAACGAAAAGAAGCACACAGAGAAAATAGGAAGGAAAAGGCTGGCGGAAGGACAAAAGGTTGGATGATGGACGACGTCGGGCAGCAGGAGGAGGCGCACAGCAAGAGGCAAGGGGCTGACCAACAGGGTGGGGCGAACGAGCACCAGCTCATACTCGCCCTTCGGCTCACGGAGGAAGTGCTCGCCTTCGTGGAGTCAGCCCACAGCCCCCACCTCGACTGGCCGGTCATCGCCCACCACCTGGCGCCCTACCGCCGCCCCGCCCTCACCCCTCGGTGCATACCCGCCTACGTTGGTCACCTGTTCTTTGTTTTTTTATTATTTATTTATTCATCTATTTTTATATATTCATTTATTCATCTTGTGTGCACGTTGCGCACCGCTACACAGAGAGTGCAGAGCGCTGTGGCGCAAGCTGGCCTACCGCAATAGCAACAACGGCAGCAGCAGCAGCAGCAGCCACACAACCGAGAGCGACCGAGGGGAACCGCAGTTGCAACTACAACAACAACAACAACACAACGCGACAGGTGGCCCCAGCGAAGGCGACGGCGATGACATGCAGGTGGAGGAGGTGCGTTGGTGTGGACACACTGGTGCCTCGAACCCAGCATCTCATCTCTTATGTACCCACCCCCCAATACATATGGGCGGGCTTGCCCTGAATCACCTGCAGGTGCGCCGGGACGAGGACACGCCGCACACGGGCGCCGGTGGACGGGGCAAGAAGCGGCGGAGCAAAGACGCGCATCCGGGGCCCCGACGACGGCGCGACGCGGACCCCGGCGCCGGGGAGACCCCCGCGCCAGCAGAAGCCGCCGCCACCGCAGGGGACGTGGCGACACCCGCCGCCGAGAAGCGACCTCGACTGGGCGGGGACCATCAGCCGAGCGTGGGCGATGAGGCCGAGGAGAGCAGCGCTGCTGCGCCGGCGGCCAGGGCCGGCCGGAGCAACCCGCTGGGCACGCCCCAGCAGCAGGAGCCCCCCGCGGAGGCCGCCGGCGACGCCCAAGGACACAAGGGGCCCCGCAAGCGCGTGCTATGGACCAACGAGGAGGACTTCCTCCTCGTACGCGGAGTGCAGCGCAACGGCGAGGGCAACTGGGCCGCCATCCTCAGGTCCGACTAACGCGCCCCTCACATACGACGCGTATCGAACTGCTCACCGGCGCGACGGTCGGCGGGTCGTGTGTCGTGTGTGTCGTGGGTTGTGTGCCGTGCGGTGCGCGCGGTGATACACAGGGACCAGGCCGAGGGGTCGCTGCTGCTGCGCCGCAACAGCACGCAACTGGCGCAGCGGTGGAACGCCATCAAGCGCAAGATCCAGCGGGCTCACTACGCCGGGCTCGACGAGGCCACCAAGGCCCTCGCCATGGAGCTCATCCTCTCCTCCTCATCCTCTTCTGCGGCCGCGGGGCCGCGTGTCCCTTCGCCTCCCGTGCGTGGCCCACTCCTTCCTTCTTTCTTTTGTGATCGCATTCATGGCGCTGATCACATTGACCGTGCGACATGTGGGCAGAGTGAAGCGGCAGCACCGGCAGGAGATGGAGAAGACGTCGACACAGCAGCGCCGACCACGACCACGACGCCATCGGCGGCGGAGGAGCCACAGCAGCGGCCGCCGCCTCCCGGAGAGCAGCCCTTCCACCAGGCCCTCCCAGGACCCTCCCGCGTGTTCGACTAGTACCACCAACCGGAGGAGGTTGTTGTGTTCCCCTCGTTCCCCCCCCCCAAAGAAGTGTTGTTGTGTCGCTCGTCCCCTGATTCCGCTCGCGCTGGAAGCTTCGTACCCGCCTGTTCTTTTCCAAGTTGTTTTGTTTTGTGTTCTTATTCTTCATGTTCATTGATTTCTCCTTCTTGTTCTCCCATGCTGTCATGGCATACATGATTCTAACCTCCTCAGGATGAAGTGCTTGAGCTGAACTGAATTGCAGATGATGGAGCTGAGAGAAAAGAGTCCAGGCACCTCCTCAATGAAGACCATGGCCATGTTTGTCATGCCTGGGGCTGGAGCAACACTGCCAGGATGTCCAAGGCATCATACCCTTGCCACACCTGGTGGCCCACCTGATGCATAGTGCCAGCACCAGACATGATGGTGTGTTGGGAGTCTTTTGATAATGATGACAGGTTCAAGGGGGTTGAGGAAGTGGTGCTAGCAGTGTCTCCTTTGTTGAGTGCTGACGTGGACTGAGTACGCCTTCTTAAATAATCCTCAGCCGAAGTTGTGTTTGTTCTGCCTCTCCGGAGCTGCTGCTGCGCATGGAGCCCTCCACCACGACCGCACCTTCCGCTGCTGCCGTCCACTTGCCCGCCCGGTCGCTGGGGCCGTGGTGCCCTCTCCCCCCGCCCACGCCAACGGCCGTGGCGGCGGGCGGCATCGCGCCGCATCCGCACGCCCACGCCCTTCTCGCTGGCCTCTGCCCTTCTTGCACTCCCCCCACCTCCGGTACCTCTTCTGTTCATTTACTTATTCCTTTATTGTTGTTTATTTTTATTTATTTATTTATTTATTGTGTGGAGGTCGCGCAGGTTCGCTCCCGTCGGACGAGGCAGGTCTGGTGCTGGGCCGGCCATCGGGGCTGGCTGCAGGCGAGCGGTGGGCCGTCCTTCTCTCGCCCTCCGCTCACGCCGAGGCCGCCGGCTGGGCGGAGGTGGCCCCCGTGCTGCGAGCCTCCGCCCGGCGCCTTCCTCCTGCCGCGCCGACGCCCTCCGCCTCCCGGCCCTACCGCGGTACTGATCCAGGCCCCTACTGGCCGCGGCGGAAACCTCGTTCGACGTTTCGTGTCTGGCGCCCCGCTCACGAGCTGACCTGGCTGGCGTGGGTGGTGGCTGGCGTGGGCCGCGTGCAGGCGAGGTGGAGCTGGTGCTGGAGCTCCTCGTCGCTGATGGCCGCGAGGAGGGAGTGGTGCGGGAGGTGCGCCTGCCCGTCGTGCCGCGCGAGGTCACCGACGCCCCGACCGTGGCGGCCTCCGGCGAGGAGGAGGAGGAGGAGGAGGAGCTGCAGAAGGAGGCGGCAGCGGCGCCCAGCGGCCGCCACCGGCGGTGGTGGGGGTGCTGCCAGGCCGCCACCCACACCATCGCCCTCCACGCACCTCCTGCCCACGCGGACGAGGACCAGGAGGAGGAGGCCGTGGGGCTGGTGCTGCTGCTGGCCTTTGCCGATGACCGCGCCGCCTCCCACTTCATGTACAGCGCCCTGACCCCCCATGTGTGCAGCTGCAGCAGCAGCACGCTCTCGATGATGATGATGATGATGATGATGATGATGATGATGATGATGATGATGATGATGATGACGACGTTGGTGTTCATGCTGTCAACAATCGAATGGGGGGCGGGCTGCGACTACGACTACGGGCGGGGGGTGCAGGGACTACGTGTTCTACCTCCAGACGGTGGCGCCACCTGTGCCGGCGAACGAAGACGGACAGCCGGGAGGCGAAGAGGAGGAAGAAGAGGAGGAAGAAGCGGCGGAGCGGGAGGACTACGACGAAAAGTACACCTTCACCCAGACCGAGTACTGGGAATGTACGTCAGCGCTTCCACTTCATGTCGGCGTTATCTGTGCGTGTTATTATCTATCTATCTATCTATCTATCTATCTATCTATCTATCTATCTATCTATCTAGTATGAAGCTTTTGGAGATGTGCTCAGCATGGTCGTCCCCTCCCCAACCCAGGCTTCCACGAGGAGACGGGCCAGGAGTGCTTCGAGTGGTACTCGGCCGAGGAGCTGCAGCGCCACAGCATCCTGCGCGTACTGGGCCGCTTCTTCGTGCCCGCCCTGGCCGCCGCCGCCGCCGCCGCCACGCCCGTCTACCGCGTGCTCGACGTCGGGGCCGGCACCTCCGGTACGACCGCCCGATCCCGCAAAGTAACGGTCATCTTGGCGTGCAACGATGTCTCTGTTGACTTCCCACCGCGTCGTGTGTGTGTGTCGGCAATCCAGAGTTGCCATTCAACCTGTACGAGGCCCTATCGGCCGAGTCGAAGCGCATTGGGCGGCCCTTCCGCGTCGAGCTGTGGAGCGTCGACTTTGCTCGCACGGTGCGTACCACCCACCCACCACCGCCTCTGAGGCGGCATCCCGCCCAGCCCCCCACCAATGAGAAAATGAGGCGATGCGTGCGGGCGGCTGACGTGGCTCTCCGCTCTGCAGGCTGTCGAGTTCCTGCGCGGGCAGAAATGGATCAGGCACGCCCAGCTGCGGGAGAAGTGCCCGCCGCCTGCCTCTGGTGGCCACTCCTCCTCCTCCTCCTTCGGGAGAGCTCACAATGTCAGTGCTCTGACTCGGGCTTTTCCCCGCGCGCGCGGTGAGCAGAGGACTGTGCACAGATGCGGGCAGACGTGGAGGGAGGCTGGCCCTGCGTGGAAGTGTTTCAGCGGGTGATGGACGCCACCAACCTTTCGTTCTTCCCCGACCACTACTTTGACATGGTCACCGAGAAGGTACTACAACACGACCTTACATTTACCAATGTACATCCATACCAGCGCACCCTACCCCCACCACCACCACCACCGCATGCATCACTTTGCCCAGCACCGCGAGCGCGACCCAGATGCGCTTTTCAAACTCTCTCTCTCTCTCTCTCTCTCCCTTTTTGTCACTCCCGCAGGGTTGTCTGGACTGCTTTGTGAACGGAACTGGGCGGGCGCTGGTCCCCACGTACTTCCAGCAGATCAAGCGGGTGCTGCGGCCCGATGGCCACTTCCTCATGATCACCGTCTCCAACATCGACCTCCCGCTCATCCTCCAAACGTACGAGCGAGCATACGTGTTGTGTGGTGTGGTGTGGTGTGGTGTGCAACCAATGGGGACTGACGCTCATGCACGCTTAGTGGAGGAGAGGTGGCGCAGAAGGCCGTCTTCCGCAAGAACCTGGTAGAACCGCACCTCGGCCCGGACGAGATCATCGCCGCCCGCCAGCTCCACTGCCGCGCTCCCGGTACGGACCAAAGGAACCACAAGACCCTCCACGCGCCGGATGCGCCCCTGGGCACACGGAACGCTGACGACAGGCCACGCACGCACGTGGCATATGTTGGGGGGGGGGCAGGCCGATTTGTGGTGGAGGCGATCAGGGCCAAGACCGAGCGCCACGCCGTGCTGTGCCGCCCCGCCACGCTGGACGACGAGGCCGACGCCGGAACGGAGGCGGAGAAGACGGTGGTGTGCGACGAGTGCGAGAGACGCTACCCGGCCGCCTCCACCCCCAAACGCTGCGGCACCTGCTCCACCCTCCTCCAGCGCTTCATCGTCGGCGGCTGAACACTGAACACCAACTCTCAGCAGATCGCCATCCTCCTCCTGGATCTTTGAATCAAACCAGAACCAGCTCATGTCCCGTACGTGTTGATTCTCTTTCTTTGTTGGGGATTTGTCGCGCACGTCACGCGCGAGTATGTATGTACATGTGGTGTGGCGGCCGAAAGGCTCCTCGTCAGATGTTGAGGAGGTCGTCGGTGAGCGACTTGGGCGCCGCGGTCGTCGGGGTGGCCCCACCGGCGGCGCCGGCGGACGAGCGGGAGAGGAGGGGCGAGGGCGAGGGCTTGGAAGGCGTGGAGCGGGCCGCGAGCCCCGCCTTGCTCGCCGCGAACGGGGTGGCGGCGGCGGGAGTGGACGGGGTCGAGGCGCGGTGGCGGTGCACCGAAGGCGAAGGCGACGAGTAGGAGGCCCGCAGCTGGCGGTCGGTGAGGTGCGGGTTGCTGCTGCTGGTGGCAGTGAGCTTCTGGGCCACGAGGCGCTGGGCGGCGGGGGAGAGGGCCGGGGTGGTGGGTCGCTTGGGCGAGGGCGAGAGCAGACCGCGCAGGGTGGACTCGGCCCGGGTGGTGGAGTCCCGCTTGCGCTTGCGCACGCTCTGGCTGGCCTTCTCGGTGAGCCGCAGCGCCACCTGCTCCCGCGGGGTCTCCTTGGGCAGGCTGAAGGCCGGCCCGGGCGACAGGTCCACCGGCAGGTCGTCCAGGTCGTTCATCAGCATCGGCGTCGAGTCCACCTTACCCCTGCACGCATCAAGATCGGCGATGACGACGACTAGTCAGTTCGCGATGCCCGACAACACACGACGCACATACACGACGCACACACACGTGACACGCAACGAGGATGGAGTGGGTGGGCGTACCAGGTCATGAAGGGCGAGTCGTGAGGGGCGGGGGAGGGGGTGAGCACGAAGCCGTAGCCCCGCACGCTGGGTGAGGCGGGCGCGTGGCCGGGCGTGGCGCGGAGGGCGTCGAGGTCGTACGACTTGAGGCCCTCGCGTAGGTGTCGTCGCTGCTCCATCAGCTCCTGCTCGCCCGGTGCCAGCATCGTCCACGCCGGCTGCTGCTGCTGCTCCGACTGCTGTTGCTGCTGTTGCTGCTGCTGCTGTGTGCGGCGAAGGTGTCGCGGCATGCGCGTGTTGTTGTGTAGGATGGCCTTGGGCGCACGCGCGGCCGCGTCTTCCTCCTCCTGGGCCGAGAGCGGCGCGCCCGGCGGCACGTACATGAGGGCGTTGGCCACGGTGTAGGGGGCCTCGTCGAGCGACGCGCCCGGCCGCGTAGTGGTGAGTGCCGAGGCGAGGGTGGGGGCCTCGAGTAGGAGCTTGCTGGTGGCCTCGTCGCGCGCCTCGATGCGTAGCCGCACGCGCTCCTCCTCGCCGTAGAGCCACGCGTAGCGCTCCCGCTTGCGGTGGTTGGCCACCTCGACCAGCTCGCCAAAGCTCGCGTTGTCTTCGCTCGTGTAGCCGCGTAGGAACCCGTCCAGCCCGACCCCCGCCAGCTCCTCCTCGGCTCCTTCGTCGTCGCCATCCTTGCTGGGAGTTGTAGAGGCCTCGCCATTCAAAGATGACGACGTAGAGGATGTGGAAGGGGTGGGGGCGCGAGAGGGGGTGGATGCGGGCGAGGCGGAGGGGGTGCCGGTGCGCATGCGGTGCAGCTGGGAGCGCAGGCGAAGGAGGCGGGCATGGTCGTCGTTGCGCTGGGCCTCGTGTAGCTCCTCCTGGAGGCGGAGACGGGGCAGGTCGGGAAAGAAATCGCGCGTGATGATGTGGTCGAGGGCCGCCACGTAGTCCTCCTCCTCGAGCACCGTGGCCTTTCGGGGTGCCTGGGGCACCTTGAACCCGCTTTTCTTCAGCATCACGGCTCCCCCTTTCGAAGCAGTCTCCACCAACTGCTGCTCTGTTGCATTTGCAGCAGAAGAGGAGACGCTTCGCTGTACTGTTACCGTGTCCATGTGGGGTTAAATTTGTGATTTGTGCCCAAATCAGATGCCTAATTGTTTCCTCTTCTTCATTAGAAAAGGCGGGGAAAATGCTGAGGAATCCTAAACATGCACTCTTTTGTTTCTCTATTTTCTCAATTGAGCGCTGTTGGTTGCATCTCACCACAGGTAGGAGAAGGGCCGCAGCGCACCGCCGGCCGAAACCTGTACCTGGAACGCAACCTGCATTTGCCGGATGAGAGAAACGTCAGGAAATGCAGATCATCAACTCTCACGTAAGAGCTATACGTACGGGCTGTTGATTGAAGATGGTGGCTTCAGCGAGCACGGCCGCGGGAGACGGACTGGCAATCTATCGACGTTGGCGGCACGGACACGGACGTATAAGCACACAATTACGAGATGAAATTCAAACACAGCGTAGTGGTGAGGAAGCAACGTACGACGGCTGTCTTGCTCACGATAACGGGCTCCACCACCTTGGTCGCGGTCGTGCCCACAACAACGTTGTTGGCGGTAGTGGCGTCGGCATGAGCCACGGCGAGGAGGCAGCTGGCCAGGAGAAGGGCGAAGAGGAGCTTCATCATCATCATCATGCTGCTGCTGCTGGTCGATTGGACGAGATCGAGTCGAGTGTTGGCGTTCTGCTGCTCTGGGTTGGGGTAGAAGCAAGAGGCAGCCACGTTGCCCATTTATAGAGCGGTTAGATAGAGGCGACGCCACATCGGCCGAGGGCCACCAAGAAGTGGACAAAATTGATGGCGAGCTGTAATTCGATCGCAGTACAGGTCCCTCAACTCAGTCAATGATCATAACTGCGCTCGACCAACAAGTACCTGCCAGCTCCACCTCCTCCTCGTGAGATTCCGTTGGCCCTTGGACCACCATTTTGCGGCCTTAATTCTTTTTGGCGTGTAGAAGCAAAAAGCGCGCTGTAGAGTTTATGGTGATGAACGATGACGGTTTAGGAAGAGTAGTGGAGGGTGGTGACGTGGCCCATCTTGCGGCCGGCACGCGGGAGGCGCTTGCCGTAGAGGTGGAGGTGGGCGTTGGGGTTGGTGGCGAGGAGGGCGAGCGCGTCGTCGGCCTCGTGCCCGATCAGATTGGTCATCACCACCTTGTCCACGCCCGGCACCACGCGCGTCTGCGCCAGTGGCAGCCCGCAGATGGCACGCACCAGCTGCTCGAACTGGCTCGTGGTGCAGCCCTCGATCGTCCAGTGGCCTGGCGTGAGACACGAAGATAACTTATTATTAATTCCTTATTAGGGTTGATTATTTATAAATATATAGAAAAGTGTTTCATGTTAATGCTATGCGCGAGCAGTGCAAGGGCGTGACTGACCTGAGTTGTGTGGACGCGGCGCCAGCTCATTGACGAGGATCTTTTGCTGGCCGTCCTTGTTAACCAGGAACATTTCGATGCACACCAGCCCTGCATCAAATCCCACGACACAACGCGCACGTTGTCAGAAGCCACATTCCTGCACCACTGGAAAGAATGAAAGAGAACGAGAGAAAGAACGAAAGCGACAGCAGTACCGGAGAGATCGAGGGCGGTGGCGAGGGAGGTAGCGATGTGGTGGATCTGCTGGCGCACGCCGTCGGAGAGGGGCGCCGGGGGCGGGATGGTCGAGCGGCGCAGGATGTGGTGCTCGTGCTCGTTCTGGGCCACGGGGAACAGCTCCACGGCGCCCTCCGCCGACGCGCCCGACGGAAGGCTGCGGCGCGCGACGATCACCGACAGCTCGCACTCGAACTCGACCCAGGCCTCCACCACGCACTCCACCGACCCGCCGCCCACCGCAGCCCAGGCCTTCTCGACGTCCTCCGGGGCCGCGATCTTGACCTGGCCCTTGCCATCGTAGCCGCCCTGGGTGGTCTTGAGCACGGCGGGCAGGCCCACCTGCTCCACGGCCTGCCTCAGTTCCTCGAGGCTGCTCGCCCTGGCGAACGCCGTCGTCGTGCCCTGCAACCACCCACCCAATCCATCAACCACCATTAGCCACGTGTCGGTTACATTGCAACGCGCAGAACAAGGACGAAAAGGAAGTATGATGAGCCGTACGGCGCCGCACACGTCGTTGACGAAGGTCTTCTCGCGGAAGCGGTGCTGGCACGTCTGCAGCACGAACGGAGACGGACGCACGGGGCGCCACGTGGCCAGGTGCTGTACGCACTCCAGGGGCACGTTCTCGAACTCGTACGTCACCACGCCCACTGTTCACCACACACGCCCCCCAGCCAGCCGCGCGTGAGTCGCAACCAACCAAGAGTTGGTGTTGCAGTGTAGCGGCGCATACCAGCCGAGGCGAAGCTGTCCAGCGCCGTCAAGTCGAGGTAGTCCGCCACCGTGACTTCATCTGCAACATTATTGGGGGGAGGGAGGGGTAATCGTAAAAAGGCCTACGTTAGGGCTAGCTACCCCTGTGTGTGGTTTGAAAGGGGGAAGGGGGCGTAATTACCGGCCACGTGGAAGGCGGGGGAGTCGGCGTCGGGGCAAAACACGTGCATGCGGTAGCCCAGGCAGGCCGCGGCCGTGCCGATCATGCGCGCCAGCTGGCCTCCGCCCACCACGCCGATCACCGATCCTGTGCGTGCCGTGTGTGCCGTGCGTGCGGGCGGGAGTGAGTGAGCACGGGACTAAAATAAACGAATAATTTACAATAAATGGTACATCGAACGTACCGGGCGGGAGGAAGGCAGGGCCGGGCTGAGCGGCGAGCTTGGGGGCCGCCAGCTTGGCCAGAGCGGCGGGCGTCTCGGCGGGGCTGCTGCTGCTGCTGGCGGTGGTGGTGGTAGTGGTGGGCTCTTCGGCCACGGCAAGGGTCTGCTTGCTGCGGAAATGGTCGAGCGCCTGCGCAACGTCGGCGTACTCGGGCTGCAGGCAACCACCACAGCCACAGCCACAGCCATTGGCATACCCGAATGTCATGATCGATTGTTCGAACTGGAACCCACCAGTACATAGGGGAGGCGGAGGAGGAGGGGAGCTGCGTACGTGAGCAGCGAGGATGGAGGCGGCCAGGATGGCGGCGTTGGCCGCTCCAGCGTCACCGATGGCGAGAGTGCCGACGGGAATGCCGCGCGGCATCTGCACGATCGACAGCAGGCTGTCCTGCCCACTCAACGTACTGCAGTTGTGGTAAACCATAAGGGCGCGACACGCACACACACACACACACACGCACACCGTGTCAGAGCCATTGGGCCAAATGGTCATCCTACGGTACAACACGTGCGGGGGGGCGTGGTGCGTACCTGGTCTTGACGGGCACGCCCAACACGGGCAGCGGCGTCATGGAAGCGGTCATGCCCGGCAGATGCGCCGCGCCGCCTGCCCACGAGCCCCAGGAGCCGATCAGCCACGTCATGTGCCATCTTCATTGCGGTTCGGTTGGGGTCATAGGGGAAGCGCGTACCGGCGCCGGCGATGATGACCTTGAGGCCGCGCTGCTTGGCCGAGCGGGCGTAGGCGCAGAGGCGGGCGGGGGTGCGGTGGGCCGACACGATCTTGGTCTCGTAGGCCACGCCCAGCTCCTCGAGCAGGCCAGTGGCGTGCTGCATGGTGGCCCAGTCCGACTGGCTGCCCATGATCACCCCCACCAGCGGCCCGCTCTTGGGTTGCGCGCTGGCGATCGAATCGATCAGCTTCCGCGCGCCCTCGGCCACCCACGCGTAGTTGTCCAGCACCACGCGCTTCTGCTCCGCTGTCGCTTGCCCGGGTCCTGGTCATGAGTTCAAAAAAGATGTCAGCGACGCGTGTCGTGTCGCATGCCACGTTGCGTGTCGTGTTGCGTGCCGTGTGGGGATTGGGGGGGGGGTACCAGGGATGGGCATGTTGCGGTAGACCTGCTTGTCCTTCATGAGGCGCTTCTCGCCATTGGGCCACAGCCGCCACGAGTCGTTGTCGATGACGTCAGCCAGCACCAGATCGCCGGCTTGCGACACACCAAACTCCACCTGGTGACCGATCAAAACAGTCATTTCTCACACATTCGATGATCGCGAGCGAGAAGGAGAAGCTGCAGTTTGAAACAGGCATGATGTATATAATATATATAATGTGTATAGATATATATAAATATAGATATATATATACCTTGAAGTCGACGAGGGTGACGTTGAGGCGCTTCCAGGCCTTCTCGAGGATGAGGAAGGCGCGGCGGGCCAAGCTCTTCATCGTCTCGACGCGCGCCCAATCGGCCACGCCGTTGGCCACCATCTCCTCCTCTACACACGAAACGAACATGTGGTGACCGTGGCGACCATTGGTGAGGCTGGATGCTCGCCGTTCGATCGAAGAGAGACTAAAAGAACAGGGATTATTTCAATTGGAGGTGGGATTCAAGAGTAAGTACCGGTGATCAAGGGGTCGCCCTGCTCGTCGCTCTTCATGGTGAACTCCACCACCAGCGGGAACAGGACATCGCCCTCTGTCGCCGTCATCACACCACCCACGAACCAACCGCCACGTGGCTACATCGTCAACATCGCCCAGATTGCAAAAGAAAGAAAGAGAAAAGAAAGAGAGAAGAAACATTCGCGCACCCTTGTACTGCGGGTGGGTCTTGAGGAAGGAGCCCGTGGCAAGTCTGCGCACGATCACCTCCACGGGCACCATGCGGCAGCTCAGCGCCCTTTTACGCCATGCACGACCGCACCACCGCACACACGCGACACACGACACGCACACGCGCGACACACCAGGCAGGTCAGGTCAGCAATGAACTTGAGCTGCTTGGAGGAGGGCAGATCAGCACGCGCGCGCGCGCGCGAGGGAGAGTTGCGCACCGGAAGCTGTCGGGACCCTCCTGGCCGAGGAAATGGGTGGGGAGGCCGCTGAGCTGGAGCAGCCGGAACACCCCGCACGTCGTCTCGTTGGACAGCCGCCCCTTGCCCTCGATCACGTCCCTCTGTGCACACACGCACGTACGTGAGTCACGCGCAGGTCGGTGTAGAGAGTTGATGCTCATCTGTATTATCATTTATTTATAAACAACAAGAAGCTGTCCCAGAAGTGCGATGTCTTCAACCATCGGTTGTGCTCACTGTTGTTTTAATAATAAGATATAATAAAATAAAACAAATCATCACTAGATCGCGATTTCGGGGAGCGATTTTGTGTGTTGGGTGGGGCTGGCAGCAGATCCGAGTGAGAGGAGGAGGGTTGGGGTGGAGGATCTGTGGAAGGAGGGGGCAAATCACCTTGAGGCCATTGCCAGCGGTGATGGAGTCCTTGGAGAGGACCAGCACCTGGCGCGGGTCGGAGGTGGGCAGGATGAGCTTCGTCTTGCCCTCGGCCAAGGCCGCAGCGCTCGCGGAGGAGGAAGCTTCCATCTGTGTCAGTGTTGTGTGTGCTCTGCTCTGAGCTGGACTCACAGAACGGCCCCGGAGGCTTGAGGCCGGGAGTTGTGCGGAGGGACACGGAATTCATTGGACAAATCGTAACATTCCCAACTCACAAACAATGGAATCTAAACTATGCCCTGTGCTTCTACAAGCATTCCTGAGTACATTCCAAGATGCACGTTGGGCACACGAAGAATGACAGACATGCCTCTGGGACCCTTTGCCGCCGATGATCAGCACCATCACGAGCGCGTGGAGGCGGAGAAGATGGGGCGCGAGAGGAGTCGTCCGTCGGCGCCGCAGGAGAGGAGGCGTCCGTTGGCGAAGGCGACGTCCATGGCGCCGTAGGTGGAGATGGGCCGCGAGAAGAAGCCCGTGGTGGGCTTCATGAAGGTGCGCTTCTCGTGCACGTCGGCCCAGTGCTCGCGCTCGGCCAGCACCGCCGCGCCGCCCAGGTCCCACACGCGCACCGCGCCGTCCGTCGAGCCCGAGGCCAGGAGCGACTCGTCGGGCGCCAGCGCGAGGCACTTGATGTTGAGCGCGTGCGCCCGGCTGATGGTGCGGAGCAGCACGCGCTGGCGGAGGTCGAACACGCACAGGTCGCCCTCCTTGCCGCCCGAGACGAGGAGCTGGTGGCGCGGGGAGTAGGCCAGCGAGTGGGCGCCGCCCGGGTGGGTGGCCCACGAGGCCACGCACGGGCTGGGCATGAGCACGTCCCACAGGGCCACGTCGCGCCGCTTGCCGCCGGCGCGCGAGGTGCCGCCCGTGGCGAGCACGCTGCCCTCGTTGATCCAGCACAGCTCGAGCGCGCGCTTGGAGTGGACGCGGTACTTGAAGAACGGGCCGACGTGCTCCTCCTCGCTCAGGTCGAACCGCCACAGCGACAGCGCGCCCGCCATGTCCGTCGCCCCGAGCTTGGAGCCCGACGCGTTGAACCGCACCCGCGTCACCCGCGAACCGCCGCCCGCCTGGAACACGCTCACCGGACCCCCGCGCGAGCCCGACGCCTTCGCGCCACCGCCACCGCCCCCGTAGCCCCACAGCAGCACCGCCCCGTCCGTGCCCCCGCTCACGTCTGGCAACACCCACGCCACACCGCCACGTCAGCACGACACCGCACACGCACACACAAGAGGTGGGACCGCACAGTAGGGGTAGGTGGGGTGCGACTCGACCCACGGGGCGATGATGTTGCGGCGATCCTTGCTGGCCAGCACCGTGCGCGAGGCCTCGGGGATGGCCATCGCCCCGCTGCCGCCGTTGGTGTCGCTCGCGCGTGAGCTGATGCCGTCGCTCTTGTCGGTCAGCCCCAGCCACTCGTCGCCGTCCTCGTCCCGCTTCATTTGGAATAAACACCACCAGCGATCAATCAACATACCAACGTTGTGTGTGTGTGTGTGTGTGTGTCGTGTGTCGTGTGTGTGTGTGGCCGCGAGGGAGGGAGCGCGTACGTAGAGAGAAGACGAGGCAGAGGGCGCGAGGCGCGAGTCCGTCGGCGAGAGCACCACCTCGCGTAGGCCGCTCACCGTGGCCAGCGCGATATGATCTCCGCTCTGCAGGGGAGGAGAGATGAGAGATGTCTTGTAAGCACACCATGCGTCATGGCCGGAAATGAAAATAAAATGAAGCACATCATAATAATAATAACAACAAAAACATCAATAATAATAACATCACCAACGGCAAATGAGGCGGGGGCCGGTACCGGCGAGACGGCGAAGGAGACGAGGAGGTCGCGGTCCTTGTCGCGGTAGAGGGCGATCGGGTCGCCAAAGGTCACGCGCGTGGCGCCGTCGCCGCTCCGCTGCGGCGGCTGTGACTGCTGCTTGAAGGCGTCGCCGCGCACAAAGGCCAGCTCGGATTCGAGGTGGTTGGCGCAGCCCTTCTGCCGGAGGAGCGACTCCCAGAGCGCCGGCAGCTGCGGCTCGATGCGGTGGAGGCGGCTGGCCTTGATGAGCAGCGACACGGCGCTCACCAGCGGGAAGCCCGATGTGAACGACGGCCCCACGGCCGCGCTGCTCCGGCGCTCGGGCTGCCGGCGCGCCGCGGCGGCGGCGATGAGGCCCGCGGTGGCGGCCGTCGTGCGGAGACGGAGGTGGTGCTGCAGGTCGGCCTCCCAGCCGCCCAGGGTCTCAATGAGCCGCTCGGCCACGGGCGCGGCGGTCGGCTTGCGGAGCGTGGCCTTGTAGAGGTCGAACCAGTCGCGCAGGCCGCGCCGGAAGGCGTTGACGATGGCCAGCCAGAGGAAGGCCTGCAGGAAGGCCTCCGCCGCCCGGTCCACCCGCAGCCCCTCGGCCGCGTACATCTTCTGCAGGGCGTCCATGTTCTCTTCGTCATCGTCTTCGTCTTCGTCTTCGCTATCTTTTTTGTCGTTTTCGTTTTCGCTCTTTTGGGCTTTGGCGTCGTCGTCGGCAAAGGCGGCGGTGAGGGCGGGAGCGAGGTCTTCGAGGGCGGTGGGGTTGGTGGCAACCGGGAGGAGGACCTCGACGGCCGGGTAGCACCCGCGCGCCCAGCCGGCCACCAGCAGGCCCGCCACCACGCAGCCCCGGATGGCCGTCTCCTCCTCTTTCCACTTCATGTCCTCCTCGCCACCGTCGGCTGCCGGCGCCTCTTCCTCCTCCCGCACTAGCGTCATGCGGTCTCGCCGCTGCTGCTCCTCGAATACCTCGAGGCCCTCGAACACTTCCCTACAATGACACCACACACACACACACACACACACGGCACACACACACATACACACACACACGGCACACACGATAGGGCGGGTGAGCGATAAAAGTCGGTGCACGAGGCGGGGAGAGGAGCTGGTACAGGGCGTAGATGTGGGCGCGGGCGAGCTGCTGACGGACGGGGACCGAGACTGAGGCGATGGCGGAGAGGGCCGGCAGCTCGGCGAGCCGCCCGGCGGCGGCCAGGAGCGTGCGGCACAGGGAGGGCGCGGCGTCTTGCGGCGGCAGAAGGCGCACGGCCAGGGACTGCGTCGACACGCGGGCCATGCGCCCGGCGCACGCCGCCGCCATATGCGCCAACGCCGCTTTCGTCCCGGATGCCTCCAGCTTGGGCGACACTGTCGAGGACAGCCTGCATTTTTTGAGGCGTGTCGTGTGTCGTGCGTCAGCCGCCACCTTAAAGGTGAGCCCAAGAGGGAGGGGGGGAGTGGGTACGCGGTGAGCTGGAGCTGGAGGTGGGACGGGACGGGCGAGGAGTCGGCGTGTGCGGAGTGCGGCGCGACGAGGACCTCGCGGGCGAGGAGCTGCGCGACGGCGGCCAGGAGCAGGTGCTTCCGCTGGAACAGCATCTCGGGCGCGAGGGCGGCTGGCGAGTGGTGATCGTCGTCGTCGGGTCCGGGCACGAGCGCGAGCGCGAGCGGGAGGGCGTGGAGGGTGGCGCGCGAGTGGAGGAACGAGTAGAGGGCGCGCGCGATGAGGCGCGGCTCGTCCTCCTCCGACTGCGGGACCTGTCGGAGCTGAGGGTTGGCGCGCAGCAGGCGGTAGATCTGGAGCAGGGCCGGCGTGCCCAGCTCGTGGCCCTGCTCCATGGCCTTGGGCAGGTCGGGCACGTCGTGCAACGTCGGCTCCATCGCCCCTGCAATTATTTAAATTATTAAATTGGATGGTAAAACATTCAATAAATTCTTGGAATAGGAATCATAAAAAAAGGGGGTGATAAGTACCACTGCGCGACGAGGAGAGGTCGTCGCCCTCGCCCGGGCGTCGGCGACGTGGTACGGCCCGCTGCACGCCGGCCGGCTGCGAGAACGGCGTCGGCGTTGACGACGTCGATAGAGGCGACCCCGGCGCTGGCGAGGAGGAGCCGCCGGCGGAGAGCGACGATGACGACGATGATGACGACAACGGAGAGGGGGTGGCGGGGGCGGGCCGGGTGGAGGTGAGGAGGGCGGAGAGGGCGTCGGGGTAGCGCTTGAGGAGCCAGAGGGCGATGGACTCGAGCCAC